TACAAGTGATTTTTAATTTTTTTTAATTAAATTTTTTTATTATTACTTTAAAGAAATGAAAATCCTTAGGGAATATTCCAAGTAGTGGAACTGCTGGGTCAAATGTCATTTCTTTTTTTTTTTTTCCTGGATGACGAATTTTTTTCATTTTATTTGAGTTAAAGTTTACAAATCATATTACATTTTCATCCAGTCAGACATTTTGTTTCAGAACATTGAAATTAATAAATTACAATGCCTCATCAAAATCCTTATTGTATATTGCCTTTCCTTTCACCCAACTTGAGTATTACTTTTTCCTCTACTCTCCCTCCCTAATTTCTGTTAACCCTGACAAGATTCATTTTGTGTAAATCTTTCCTTAACTTTTTATATTAGTGGTCTCATATCATAATTGGCCTTTTGTGATTGATTTACATTACTTAGCATAATTTATTCTAGATTTATCAGTGTTGTACAGCATTTCACAAATTCTTAAACATTTTTTAGTTTACCATCACCTATTTCCAACTTTTTGAGAAAGTGCCAGATCACCTTCTAAAGTCATCGTATGATTTTTACATTCACACCAGCAGTGAATAAGAGTCCCAATCTCTCCACAACATTAGCAGCATTTGTTGTTTGTTTCCCTGTTGAACTTTACTTTTGTCGCTGGGTCAGACTTTTTGGTCTTTTTTGTTTCTAGAGACATCAAATCAATTTTAACTCATAACAACCCTCAAAACTGATGTTATATATAAAAAAAAAAAAACCAAACCAACTGATGTTATGTTTAAGCCCACTGATTCAGCCAGTGTGCCAATCCATTCCAATCCAAAGTATCTGTTAAGAGTCTTCCTCTTTTTAATGAGCCTCTCAGGAGTAACATTCTTCTGAAGACATTGGTTCCTCCTATTAACATAATCAAAGTATTTCATAAGATTTCTGTTAAGATACTGGTGAAATAGCTTCCAGCATCACATTAACATGTAAGCTACCCTAACACAGCAAACTCACACACAAGTTGTGGATAATTTTTCACAAAATTCAAACTCAAATTCATTGTCATAGATCATT